TCTGATGTACCTACCCGTTGGAACTCATCATATTTAGCATGGAAAAGGTTGGAAAAAATTCATGATTATATTGATGTAATGTCAATGACAATGTTAAAAGATAAAGATCCTACAATGTGAAAAGATGGAAAAAGACTTAATGAAATCAATCTTACTCAAGATGAATGGGTTGTCATTAAACAATTAATTATAATTCTAGAACCTTTTGCATCAGGAACTGAGCTTCTTGAAGGTAGTAAATATGCAACAATAAGCTTTATGTATGATGCAATTACAGAAATTACAAATGGAATTATTATTAGCTCTAATGAAATTGATCCTGAGGAAATTGATCTCACTAATCCTACCACGATCTTTGACAATGATATTGGTATTGAAGATCCTAATGACAATGATGAAATTGATGATCATCCAAAGCGACAAAAAATTTTAATAAATATTCTATAGGACTGTGATAATTTAATTAGAAAAATTAAATCAGCTTTATATATAACGATGAGATATTATTAGAATGTATCTCAAGATAAAGGATTAATAGCTACTTTCTTGGATTCCAGATGTAAATCTCTTAGTTTTGCATCTGAATCACAAATAATTAGAACAAAAGATCTCTTACGAGAAATTTATGAAAAATCAAAGCAAGGTTTAGGCATAATTCAACAACAACAGAAATCACAATCACCTAGTAATTCTCTTCTTCAAAATATATTTGCTAATTGTAATCGACCTAATAGGTGTGATGAAGTTGAAGATTATACAATGATTGAGGGGATCGGCTTTAGTACTTGTCCTTTTAAATGATGGGCATCTCAAAAATCACGATTTCCAATCTTATCACAATTAGCAAAAAAGTACTTGACTATCCCAGCAACATCTGCCTCCAGCGAAAGACTATTTTCTGATGCAGGAAATGTGATGACAATTAGGCGTGCTAATTTATTACCATCTACTTTTGAACATCTAGTATTTTATAAATGAAATTGGCGTCTGATTGGTAAGATTTTTTCAGAATCTGATTAAGTTGTATTTGGTATAATATAAAATTCATACATAGCGATAGGACAAATATTATATATTCGTACATTAAATATGGATTTTTAATAAATAAATCATTTTGTTTTACAATATTGTAAGTGCTAATTACTATAAATAACTAACAACTAATCATATCGACATTAGCAATAAATTTTTTGAAAGTATCAGCGAAAATTTAGTCATTATTGTAAATCGAGATTTTTATTTATGTCTAAATGCTAAATATAATAGTATCGAAAAATAAAAAAATTGATTTTTAATCATCAAATAAATTTTAAGTTTTATATAGATTACAGATTTGCACTTATATAATTTATTATTTAATTTAATAATTTACGATCATTATATTATTCACTTCGGTCAATGATCACGGACTAAATATGTCTTTCTGAACAAGGATTATCGACAAATTTTTTATTATTAAATTAAACAATCATTGTATTCTTCTATTTATTGCAATTCTATTATTTATTGTACGATAATTATATATTTTTAATATTGATTAGCAATGCAATGATATTAAAATTATTTCTACTTGCAACAGCCCCGGTCTGTTATAATATTATAAATCTAGTTGTTTGGAATAAATAAAAATAATAACATTTACAAAAATAAAATAAGATAAATTTAAAATAAAAAGTTATCTTGGATATCCGGATAAATTGATTGGATATCCGGATGATTTAGGATATCCGGATAATATTCAGATTATGTGGATTATATCCGGATAAATTAGCTGAATATCCGGATTGGACAGATACAAGATAATCAGATATCCGGATAGACGGATATAAACTCTACATTTTAAATAGTTTTAAATAATTTGTAGTAAAGTCTAATCATTTTATATACTTTATTAATTTTACATAATTAATTTACTTAATATGTTTATAGGTGATTAATAAATAAATAAATCAGAATCAAATGATCATTGAAATACTTATCGGTAAATAATTGTAAAATAATTATTAGTAAATAAACATATCAGCGAAATGATTATGTCAAAGAAATGACTGTCAATAAAATGATTGTTGACAAAATAAACTTGTCTATGAAACGTTTATCGATAAAATAAACCAGATCTGATTAATCTAAGTTTAACATTAAGTAATCTGAAATTCAATATTAATTAATCCCTATAAAAATTTATTAAATAAGTTGAACTATTATACAGTTTGAAACCAGTTTACTTAACATTTTTATTATATAAATTCAGCATAACTTGCAAAATAAAAGGTTGTAAATTCTTTTTCATTACAATTATCAAATATATTTTATTCTTTATTAGTTATAGCATTTTTCAAATATGAATCTAAGGTAATTTGCTGTTTATAATAAAGATGGTCCCTATAATTATTTTTAAATTTCAATTGAATTGTAACTTAATTGCATCATAAGAAATTTAATTGTGTTACAAGTTGCAACTCATTTGCATCATTTTTTTAATTATGATACTGTTATAGAATTATTTTAACAAGAAAATGTGGCAAAGTAAATGATCACATATTTTACTAAATTAATCTATTAGAGAAATTACACAAACAATTATACAGAATTAATCTACTGGATGATCTACAAATTAATTTGTATATGTAATGTTGTAAATGTTAAAAATGTTAGAAATATTAAGAATATCAAGAATGTTAAGAATGTTAAATATTTTTTATAGATTTGATATATTTAATATATTTAATATAGCTAATATAGTTAAATTATTATTATATATAATTTGTTTTATATAAATAAGATAGTTTATATTTATTGGAAAGGTAGGAAGTTAGATTTCTTCTAGTCTGATGCTAATGTTCTCATTATTCTCTATTTTCTTTTATTTTCTTTTCTTAATAAACATATTTTTATTTTTAATTAAGTGTTCTTTAATTAAAATGGATCTATTATTACAATTATTCTAATGAATTTAATAAGCTACCTATAAAAAAAAACACTCAAACACCTTGTTTAACTGTAGCGATTTATCAAAATCACATGTTAACAGTACCTATCTTTAGTTTAGAATGAAATTCTTCTTGTTTTACAGCTTTATATAATTTTTTTATTGCTCAAATTTAAATTTTTTAAAAAATAATTTTATCAGATTTTTGTTCTGCATAAATGATTATTTTGTTAAATGCTACTAATGTTTCATAATTATAATATTAGGAATTTTTGATTCTTTATTATTTGGTTTTTCTTCTAGTTCTTTCATTAATTCTATAATTTTCTTATCTGTTATCATCTAATGAATTATTATTTTTTACATTACAAATATTCTTTGACAGGAATTGGATTTTTGTATATATTAGGAGTTAATTAAATAATAAATTTTTGTATTTTATTGATTTTATCAAAATCTGTACAATTGACAAAATTATTAATATCAATTTTTTTATTATTATCAGTATTTAGCAGAAGAATATTTGTTTTTCTTTAACAATTTGTAATTACTTTTGGTTGAACCAAAACCCATATTTTTATTGTATATTTAATTGTCTTTTTTTATTATAATTTTAGTTATAAGTTAACCAGTTTCTTGATTATTATCAAATATTTTAATATGATTTTATAAAAATAACTTTTGTTAATATGCTTTAAAACTTTTAATAATTCTAGCATTATAAAGTTAGAGATATATAGTTGTATTAGAAGGTAATTTATGAAGATGAATATTAAAGAGTGTATTTTCATGTAAGATATGAGTAGATGCATCATCATAAAGTAAGATTATATGATGATTCTAAAGTCTTAAATATTCATCAAAATGTTTTAACCAATCATTTTAGATATTAACTTTTATATAAGCTGTTTTATTTCAATAATAATGTACAGGTAGTGACAATTTGGAATATATTTTAAAACATGTGAATTTTAACTTTTTCTAATGAAAACTGCTGGTTTTTTCAGTTTCTGAAGCATTATAACACAATGTAACAGTAATATATTCTTTAGATTGTTTTTAATTTGTAATTAATATAAGTATTATTTTAAATTTATATAATTATTTATATTAATTTATATCAATTAATATTAATTTTTTATCTGGTTTAGTAAATAAAGTCTGATTTGGCTTTATTTTTTAATAAAGTTCAGTTTCATTTATATTAAATATATTATTAGGTGAATAATTTTTATGTATATCATCTAAATCTTCTAAAGGAGCACTTGTAACTTCTTCATGCCTCAAGTAAAATTATTGTATAACATTTTTTGAAACCTGTTAATCATTTATTTATCTTATATATCAAATAATGTTGTAAAATTACTTGCTTTTTGTAATAATAATTCATCACTAATAGTAATATTATTATCTATAGCTTTTTCAATCTTAAAACTTAATTTGTGGAAAATTTAGTTTAATTTGTCTTTTAAGTGAAGCTTTATGAGATTGATTTTATAGCTAACCATTTTTCACTTTCTTTTAAAATATCACATATTATTCTTTCTGAAACATTAAATTTTAGAGAAAGGTCTTTATTTTAGGCTTTGGTTTCTGTAACTTTTTTAAACAAATTTCCTGTTTTTGGGCACTTGTAAGCAAAACTCTAGTTCATTTTATTTCTTTAGGCATTTTAATAAATTCTTTATGAATATTTAATTTAGTAATTTAAAATTTTACAAAGTAACATTTTCTTTATTAGTAATATATCCCTTGAATTTAATATAAAAATTCGTTATATTCAATAATTTTATTTAATAAATTTCGGGACCACTCATGTAATTCGCTATAATAAAAAATTCGGAATATAGAAATTCGTTATAGTGAGGTTCAACTATAGTGAGGTTCAACTGTACAAGATATAAACTTGTTTTTTGAATTAATTATAAAATTTTAAATTATTGCATTTAATATATCATATAGCTGCATAATGATGAATTTACTAAAATGTTTGCACGTGATACAATGAAAATATTTTTTTCTGATCCAAAATAAAAATTTTTTTTGTTAAAAAACTTTTATCGTAAGATCTATGCCTGCTTCAAAGTCTATGAAACCAAAAACTACTCGCTATAATGCGATTGAAACTCGCCCGAGTTCAGTTGAAAAGAATAATTCTTCTGAAACTCAGGCAACTGAGTTAGATATACAGAAACAAGAGTTTAAAATGATGATTTGCGTCATTGAAGAGGCGATTAAACAAAGGAAAGAGGTAGGTGTATCAATATCCTTTATTAAACTAGTTTCGGCTGAATGGATCGATTTATTTTGATGAATTTTGCGAATTGGTTGATTGAAATTATTATTAATTATATATAATATTAATGTAGGACAACAATGGCCCTTTCTATGAGCTGATTCGTCAAATAAGCAATTCTTCGAATATTAATCCAAATCCAAAGAAATTAAAGATTTGGTGTTTAGCACTCTCTCGAACTTCACATAAATTCGATGCAACTTGTTCAGATCTCGTTTATACTTTATTGAATTTAAATTGGGCAGATCACGACAATAATTTGGCCATAGCATATGTAATTTTGTTAACCAATTTAGTGGCCGCTTATCCGTCTTGTACTGAAGCCATGTTGGAAATGTTAGTCAAAAATTTTCTTTATAGTAAGTTTCTTGATTTAGCGTATTTTTTACTTGAAAAGTATTTGCTAACAATTTTTTAAATCATAATCTTCAGAGGAGGATAAAGAACTCGAAGTACTGGAAATGGAAAAGGCACATGGCAAGGTACATTATGCGATTAAAAATCTTGTTCCTAGGATACCGCAGGGAGAAAAAGAACTTTTTCATATATTATATAGGGGATTTCCGCACAAACGAGAATCTCTTGGAGCATATATAGTGTACGTAAAAAATTTACTGCAACTGATTGAATATTCACCCTCCTTACAACATAAAATCTTGACTCTAATATTCGAACGTATGATTGAACTTGATGTATGTGTAATGAATTTATATCCGGTTTGGTTAAAAAGTTATATATATTCCATATTATTAATTGAACTCAACTTATTTAGACCGAAGTTCAAGGACAAATCGATGAGATTGAAGATATGGAAGAAGGTCTAGATGAATTTAATGTAGGCCTTTACAGTACTCGATGCGGATCGACTGATTTTTACAAATTAAGACCTGATTTTGAAGACTATAATGACGTAAACGCGGAGTATTTTGATTTGGATATCGAAGATTCCGCACCTGTTGTTATTGCTGTTGATATTGCAAACGGAATCCAAAAATTGGATTGTATTATCAAACTGATTTTGGACTACCTAGACTATTCTCATAAAAACGGAACCCAAGAACAACGAATGAAATTAACCGAAACTATCTTCACGATATTCGAGAAATTTATATTATATACTATCAAATCACGATATATACAATTTATACCATTTTGGTATTTCTCATTGGATAAAATGTATGCGCGTCGATTCATCAAATTACTTCTCCATAAATCAATCAACGATGAAGGAAAGGAAATCATTCAAAAAGCTGCTACACAATACATTGCATCATATATTGCCCGTGCAAGATATTTGGATGTTGATGATGTCATGCAATGCATGCGCGCATTAACACAATGGGCAACAGAGTACGTTACGACACATAAAAATATCATTCGTATCTCAGATGAGTCGAAGCATGAAAAATTTTATCGCGTTGTACAAACGGCGATGTACATTTTTTGTTTTCGGTGGAAAGACTTTTGTGAAATCAATTCGGAAAACAAAATTTGGAGCAAAGAAGCAGAAGAATTAAAGGAAATTATTGGATCAATTTTTTGCCCTTTAAAAGTAAGTTTAAATTATACTACTTAATGATTATTTAATTATCCAAGTTACTAATTGATGGAAAATATATATAGTGTTGTGTTAAGAATACGGTTAAGATGTTCTCCTTCATTTCAAAAGCCGTAGGGTTTATGACTTGCGAGGAGTATACTCGTATAGACAATAGAAATTATTCTATCTTATCAATGGAGGAATATTTCCCATATGATCCTTTCCGTCTAAAAACTTCACAAGCTTATTTGGAAGGATTATATCAAGTTTGGGAGGGATTCCCAGAAGGATTAAATGAGGAGGAATGAATGCACGGGGATTTTCTTTAAAAAAATAAAAATAAACTTAATAATTTAAAAATGAATGTTTTAAGTTCTTTTATTATCATCTATTTATTTTTTTTATTATTCGCAATTCGTAATTCATTTGCAAGTTTATATACCCTTGATTTGAGTTATAGTTATATACGTATGAAGATTTATTAGTGTATAAGTAGCTAGGAAACAGAATGAAATCGAAAAAGATATATACACGTTATTACATATTCTATTCTACTATCGCGATAAAAAAAAAAAAAAGTTATGAAAGAAACAAATATTAAAACCAAATGAGGGGATTAGAAATTATTAATGTTCATGGATAATATATATTATTACTACTACTACATTCAAATTAAAGATTTTCCGCAAATAAAAAATAAGTCGCATAAAAATCGTGTCCGTAGTAATAACGATGTCCTTTTACTTTTGAGTTTGATTTTTAGGATTCTCGGCTCTAGTAAAATATAAAGAAAAAATTAAAAAATTGAAAGAAAAGAAAAAGAGAAAGGAAAGAATAATAGATTCGAAAAAGAACTTACGAATCCTTCCAACGTTGAGCAACCATTTTAAAAGCTTCTTTGTGTTGCAGATTTGGATTTTCAGCTTTTACTTTTATGATTTCAGTTTTCATGTACTTGTTGTATGGTGTGAGCTTCTTGGCTAAAGAGAAAACGAGAAAAAAAATAAACGAAAAAATTTTATTTTAAAAAAAAAAAAAAAAGGAAGAGGGAGGAAATATAAAAAATAAAATAAATTTTAATCATATATTACCAGTAGCGGATTTCTTTGTTGTCTTCTCTTTTGCCATTTTATTTGTTTGTGAATTTGTGAATTAAGGAATAAATTTATTGAGAAAAAAAAGTGATCAAATATTTTATTTTATAAATGCGTTTGTTAGGAAAAGTAGTATTATAGAAGAAAAAAGGATAAGGAGGAAGGGAGAGGCTATTTATAACGAATCAATAGGCACGTATATTCGCGTGAGATTGGGTTTTGTTTTGATTTAAAAGAAAGTTGCGTGTTGTTATGAAGGAAAAAAAAAAAAGCAAAGTATAAAAAGTAAAAATAGATGGTAACAAAATAATTACACGTAAAATTAACAGAACGCGTTTGCCACAGAATCCACATTATGGATAAATAACACGAGGGATAATTTTTGTACCACTTTCGAAACTTTTGAGGAGGTGATACGATTGCTTGAATTTTGTAGAAGGCACAACAAAATACGAGCGATCTAACCCGATTGGAACAATTTCTTTTTAATTATAGCGATAGGTTGAGTTGGACGCGTCAGAACATCGAAAATTTCTTCAAAGTATAATTTTCCCACAACCATGTGACACGATCTGAAAATCTGAAAATCGAAATTACAAGAATTTTATTATATATATTGTATCATATACTTTCTCAACTATATGAATTTATATAATCATTAATTTATTTGATTTGTATAAAGATTAAATATTAATTATATTTATATATTTATATATTTATTATAATAAATTTGTTGTAAAGAAAAAAATAATAATGAAAAAACCTCAAATATTATAACATTGTTAAAACCTATTAATATAAGGATTAATGATATAAACCTAAAATGAAAGGCGGCTTATTCTTATAAAAACTACAATATACGGATTTCAAATATGTGATAACAAAAAATTCTATAAATCGAACCTTAAACTTTTATTCATTTACTTCATTATTTTGATCCTTTACCCTTCTTAATCAACCACTGTAAAGTTATATCAATATTCACTTGATTCTTTGCAGAGATTGAATAACAAGAAACCTCTCGATTATTAATCGTTTTTAAATTCCTATAAGATAAATAAAAATATATTAAAATAATCTCCCATTAAAAAATATTTCTTCAAAGAAAAAAGTTTTTTTTACATTTCTTCTATAATTCTTTCAACAGTCAATGCTCCATCCAAGTCATTCTTATTGCCCAAAACTAGAACTGGAATGTTTGCAAGTTGAGGTTTTTCCAAAAGACTGCGTAATTCGGTCCTTGCTGCTTCTAATTTCTCATGATCAGCAGAATCAATGACAAATCTATCAATAGAAAAGAATTAATCTTATTATCCAAGAAAAAAAAAATATATATATATATATATATAAATATTTTATTTTATTTTTTCGATTGTACTCACACAATAGCGTTTACACCACGACAATATCGTTCCCACATACTTCGGAAACGTGGTTGTCCACCAATGTCCCATAACTTCATGGTAACATTTCCTTTCGTGACTTTACGCATGTTAAAACCTACTGTTGGGATCATGTCCTCACTGAATTGACCAGACTAATATAGAAAATTTTTCAATAAAAAATTCTATTTGAATAAAAATGTTTTGAACATTGCTTTCAAACTTACCGCAATAACGTTGACCAATGTAGTTTTACCACTGTTCTGCAAACCAACCAGAGTAAGCTCTAGTTCCGTCTTTATTCATAACGATAATATTTAGAATATAATGCTTAATGTTCTCTTCCAAACATAATTCTATATAATAAAATAAAATAATACCTTAAAAAATAAACTTCTGAGCCAATCCAAAAACGATTTCAATATAGATGCCATTATGAACTAAGCAAGGTTTTAAAATAAAATCTAAGAAAATTAAATAAAATTGTGAAAGAATGGAATAATGAACGAAAATATATTGTTTTCAAAAGATTCAAATTTATTTATTATACTGTATAATAACTTGGCTATGTGTGTTTCAATTTATCTAGTTGTGTATATGACGTAGAATTGGAGCACAAGGATTGTGGTCCCGCGAGGTCCCTCACGTGCTCTCTGAATTCAAATATATGATTATCATGATTATCACATTTTATTCTTTAAATATTTAAAATGAACTTTGAAGCTGAAGTGTGGAACGACATTACTCCCATTCCTCAGGACGACGGGCCTGACCCGCTAGCTCCAATTGCTTATAACGCTGAATGTATGTTTTGTTTTAATATAAAGATTTCATTAATCCCTTAATATTAACCATTAATTATGTATATTTAAAAGACGCCAAAGCCATGAGTTACTTTCGCGCTGTTGCTCAAAAAAGCGAGCATAGTGAAAGAGCCTTAGATTTAACGAAAAATATTATCGAACATAACCCAGCTCATTATACTATCTGGTGAGCTGAATTTACAAAACATTAACGCGTTCTTTAAATATTTGACTCAATTCATTCGCAATTTTTTGTGCAGGCGCTATCGTCAACAAATTTTATTCGCTTTGAATATAGATCTATATGAGGAATTGGATTTTGTGGACGATCAAATAGAACATAACCCGAAGAATTATCAACTTTGGTAAGGTTAATTTACAAAATTTTTTATTATTTGATCCTTTTTAATCACCATTATTTCTTCATTTCAAGGCATCATCGGCAAATTATAGTGGAAAAACTTATGGATGTATCTCGCGAATTACCATTCATTAATAATGTTTTGAATGAAGATGCAAAAAATTATCATGCATGGACTTATAGACAATGGGTTATAAGAACTTTTAATTTATGGGAAGGTGAACTTGAATTTATTGATAAAATTTTGGATAAAGATGTTCGAAATAACTCTGCCTGGAATCAAAGATATTTTGCGATATTTTTCAATCCAAATAAACCTACTGATGATTATCTTGCTCAAGAAATTAAGTAAGTTAAAAATGATAAGAACTTTAATCGTATATTATAAAAAGTTTTGATACATTATTTTTTTTCAGATATGTTATTGAAAGGATAAAGCTGGCTCCAAATAATATAAGTCCGTGGAATTATATTAAAGGGTAAAACTTTAAATTTTTTTAATAGAAAAAATCTATTTTTCTCTTTTTTTTAAAATAATGCGGTTTTATGATTAATGTGTAGAGTTATTGCAAAGTCCGCCAATGACATTGGTATTTTAGAAGGATTATGCAAAGAGATTGAGGAACAAAAAATTATATCTCCTCATGCACTTGGATGTCTTGTAGATATCCATGAAAGTCGCGCACGAAATGGTTCTGTTACGGATAAAGAAGAAGGGATCAAAATTTGTACAACTTTAGCAGAAAAGCATGATACTATTCGTAAAAATTATTGGGAATATAGGAAAGTCACATTAGCTTCCGTTTAATTGTATTTTAATGTTAATAAAAAATAAAAAATGTATACCAATTTTCAAACTAAAGAATACGTGGTCCACTCATGTGACATATAAATTTGTATTACATGTTACGTAATAGGCGATTACGCAACCTTATCTTTATATAAATGTTCAGATTCGTAAATTTTCTAATCAGATCTTTTTTTATTATATTTTTATTATTCTTTACTGTAAGCAGAAATGGTAATATTCAGATCTCTCAATAAGTAACTTTTCTCGTTAAGTTATTACTTATTTATACTTTGATTTTATTATGTATGAAATATAGGGAAACACTCAATCTGGTGGTGGTCTTCCTCTCGGCGGTCCTGGTGATGATAAAAAAGATGATAAGGTTTTGTATTTTTTTTAATTAATATGCTCTTTTACGCTCAAAGTAACCATTAACAATTATTATAGGATAAAGACAAGAAAAAGAAATGGGAACCACCTCTCCCTACTCGCGTTGGGAAGAAAAAGAAGAGAGGACCTGATGCAACTTCTAAATTACCAGCAGGTAGTTATAATGTATATTTGAATATAATTTATTTATTTTAATTAATGTACGAAAAATTTTAACTTAGTTTTTCCTACAACACGATGTCGGTTGAAGCTCTTAAAAATGGAACGGATAAAAGATTATTTGTTGATGGAAGAAGAATTCGTTCAAAATCAGGAACAATTAAAACCCCAAGAAGAGAAGGCACAAGTATGAGTGCATAGTCTATTAACATGAAATACTTAATTATTTACAAAACAATACTTAATTGATCCGTTAATTTTTTTTTTTTTTTTTTTTTTTAATATTACAGGAGGAAAGAACCCGAGTAGATGATTTACGTGGATCGCCTATGGGCGTTGGTACTCTTGAAGAAATTATTGATGATGACCACGCGATTATTTCGTCATCTACAGGACCAGAGTATTATGTTAGCATTTTATCTTTTGTAGATAAAGATTTATTAGAGCCTGGTTGTTCAATTCTGCTACATCACAAGGTAATTTTTTTTTTTTGAATCAATTCCTTTGTTTTACAATCGTTTATCATAATTATTTTTATTATAGGCCATGTCCGTTGTTGGTGTACTGCAAGACGATACAGACCCAATGGTCAGTGTAATGAAACTTGAAAAGGCACCTACCGAATCATATGCAGATATTGGTGGTTTAGAACAACAAATTCAAGAAATAAAAGAATCTGTTGAATTACCGCTAACGCATCCAGAATTATATGAAGAAATGGGTATTAAACCTCCAAAGGGTGTTATTTTATACGGTGTTCCGGGAACAGGTAAAAATAATTTTTAATATTAAATATTACTAGTTCACAAATAAGTTATTTAATGTTATTGGATTCATTAAATAGGAAAAACGTTGTTAGCCAAAGCTGTGGCTAACCAAACATCAGCAACGTTTTTACGTGTTGTCGGATCAGAGTTAATTCAAAAATACCTTGGAGATGGACCAAAACTTGTGCGTGAATTGTTCCGTGTCGCAGAAGAACACGCACCTTCAATTGTTTTTATTGATGAAATTGATGCGATTGGAACAAAGCGGTATGATTATATTTCAATTTTATTCGTTTTAAGTTGATGATTTCTTCATTTACTAATAACTGTGAATGTTATCAGTTATGAATCGAATTCTGGTGGTGAGAGAGAAATTCAACGAACTATGTTGGAGCTTTTAAATCAATTGGATGGGTTTGATTCTCGAGGAGATGTTAAAGTAATAAATATATAAAATAATTTTTTGAATCAATCAACGTAAAGGTTTATCTAAAAATTTTAATATAATTTAGGTTGTTATGGCAACAAATCGTATTGAATCACTGGATCCGGCATTAATTCGTCCGGGTCGTATTGATCGTAAAATTGAATTTCCATTACCAGATGTGAAAACCAAACGGCGTATCTTCAATATTCATACCAGTAGAATGACTTTAGCAGCGGATGTAGATCTTGAAGAATTTGTAATGTCAAAGGATGATTTGAGTGGAGCTGATATAAAGGTATGTATTTAATTAAGTTTCAAGTTTACTTATAAAAATCTTGATTTAGATTTAACGCCTTTCATCTTTTTGTTTTTAAAGGCTATTTGTACCGAATCAGGTTTATTGGCTCTTCGTGAAAGGCGTATGAAAGTTATTGCTGAAGATTTTAGAAAAGCACGTGAAAAAGTTCTTTACCGTAAAACAGAAGGCACACCAGAAGGACTTTATTTGTAATTTTTTTTTTTAATTATTAGAAATTTTGTTATTAATATATGCAAACAAATAAAAAGAAATAAAAAGATGGTTTGAATTGTTATTTAAAAATGTAATGTGCATAAAATTATTCCGATCACTGTAAACTTTTCTGGTTACACATGTGTGACTGGCAGAAATGAAAACCAAATTATTTTTTTTTTTTGATTATCAAAAAAAACCAATAATGACAAGTTTCTTCAAGTCAATTCTAACAAACGTAAGTTAAATACAAACAAACTAAATATAAATTCTTTAATAATTAAGTTTAATTTTTTCATGAATAGACACATAAAACTGGAATTTCAGTATTCTCAAGAATAACGAGTTTTCGTGGTTATGTGTAACTAAACCTTTTTTATTATTATTATTTTTTTTTTGTTTAAAGTTCAAAAAAAAATTTTTTTTTTTTTTCACGTATTTAAATTATTAGAGAGGGACTTAAAGAATCAACTGGAGTAAATCAAAAACTTGAAAGAATTGAGAGTGAAACGGTTAATTCGGAAGAACAAATCGATCCAATTTATCTGGGTAAAAAAAAAATTATTTAAAACATGTTATAAAAACGTAATTATTAACATATCCCTTTGATCATTAGAACCACAACGGATTCCTCCAAAGCATAATATAGTAGTATGTCATATACATTTTCGTTCATATACACCGGGACCAATGGATTTTTTTGTTGATTTTGCACGTCGTACGGCATTTCACCTTACAATTCCATGTTCTGGTACAATTTATTTACCTACTCAAAGAACAAGATGGACAATGCCAAAAGGACCTTTTGTACATAAAAAATCTCAAGAAAATTTTGAAAGAAAAACTCATAAAAGATTATTAACATTTAAAGATGCAAATACAAATGTGATCGATAGATTATTATTATATTTAACTAAATATTGTCCCCCTGGTATTGGTATGAGGGTAACACGATGGGAAAGGGAAGATTTAGGAGTGGGTAAAAGGATGTTGAAAAATGCCAAAACTAAAGAGGAATCTAGAATGTATAAAAGCGTTGAAAAGGAATCTGTCGACACTGTTGATGGTAAGAAGGTTTTAAGTGTTGGAAATGTAGCTGACCTACTTATTAAGGGTATGGAAAAAGATTTGGCTATAAAAGATGATTTAAAGAAGTCTTTGAGGAATGAAATTGATTCCGAATCAAAAGATAAGGTAGAAATATCTATGGCTGATAGTAATAAAGTGGATGATAATACTGAAGAGATTGGTAGTGAAAGTGGTGATAATAATGAAGAAGTACCTGCGAAAGCCGATTCAACGTAAAAAGGAACGATATATTATCATATTTAAAAAAAAAATTTAATAATTTTGTTTTAAAAAAGTATCACGATAGATATAATACATATCACTTTTTAAACTTATTTATAAGAATAAATTCTTTCGATTGATTCCATTTTTTTTTTATTACATCTAATGGTATTCTAATATCTGGATTATATTTTTTTTTACATCCACCTAATAAAAAATTTGATAAATTAAAATTTTTAACAAAATAATTATTGTAACTACATATAATTTTATTAATTAATTATCAAATATGATAGTAATTTTCAATTAGAAACAAACTTTAATTATCATATATGTTTTAAATTTGTAATAGAATAATTATTATTCTAATTCAATTAAAAATCATTATTACATAGATCTTTGAAATAATATATTTAAATTAGAATCCTAACAAATATTATATTAATTTAAATGCATATCAGGTAAAGTTATATTGCAAAATCACATATATCTAAATAGTCTATTATAGTTTATATAATAATAAATAAAAATATGAATGCTTTATGTATAAAGTGTAAAATTTTTAAAATATATATATAGTATATATTAATATTAAATTTTAATATAATTCTTTTTAGTAAAAAATAAATCTAAATTTTTCTTCCTTTTATTATAAAATATCTAATTATAATTTTAAACTTTAAAAAAAATATATTTATTATAAAAAAAAAATTCATACAAAATTTTAATATATTTATTTCATATTTTGCATTTTATACTCATAAAAATACTTTTATAAACATATATCTGCCTATAAAACATAAAATTTTTAATAAAATTGCTAATGATCAATGGTGATAATTGCAATATGTAAAATTGCCTCGTGTTAGAATCTCTTTTTTCTTGGGATTATTATTCTTTAAAATCTGTTTTACAATAATGAGTAAATGTAAACAATATGATGTTTTGTTAATAATAGCAGGAAAATTGGATGAAGAATTACATTTTGGAGTATTTGAACATTTTTGGTAACAATCATGTGACTGTAAAGATAATATTTTATTATATCCTGTATGTTTAGAAATAAAAACTCTTGTTACACTTAAGGAAACCAACTTTATAATTACCGTAGTCAAAGAAAATTCAAATTTTATCTTTCAGCTTAGTTATATTTGTGAAGCAAATGGCATTACCAGTTTTATTAGTAATACTTCTTCTGGAGTAATAAACTCTTTATACTCAATATTATTCAATTCAAAAACAAGATTTTGTGGTCTATTAATATATGGTTATAATAATAAGAATATTACCAAAGAAATTATAAATGATGTTTCTTTTTAACCATTTATATTAACAATTGGTAAATTGCAAGTGTTTATAGAATTAATAGAAGTTTTTGATTATAAGGATTTGAGATATGTAGGTTTAGGATATATATTATCTTTTATTTATCAAATTAGAAAATACGAACATTGTTTGTACAAAGAATTCATTAACGTCATTATTCAATAACCTTATACCAGAATAAACAAATTAAATTAAAATAGATGGTAACAATCCTGATAAAGTTTAGAAAGAATTTTAGAACAAATTCAATATATTACAAAATTGGAATAGAAAAACTTTATTTGGTATTAATCATAAAAAAACTCAAAATTTAATAAATAGACTCTGAATACCTTCTTGTACAATTAATAAATAGAATGATAAAATTATAATAATACAATTATATAAACATCATATACACAAATTTACAATTGTTGTTATTTCTTGGTATGAATTTTTACTCAATTGGAAAAAAAAACAATGCAATATAATAGAATTATATAGTATTCTTGAATCTATCTATACAGAAGGATATCAATTTAAAGAGAGAGAATTTTATACTTGGAAAGCATTATTATGTAGTATTAGATGTACTAATATTACACCATTTAATAAAATGAATCAGAGGTAAGAAAAATATGATAATTTTTGAAAATATTATTTATTTTTAATAAAAAAATATTTTTTTTTTTTAGAAAAAATTTTGGACTAAAGCAGAAAATCCAATTGACGATAAAATCTTCTTTTTTATTTACATATAAACAATTTTCTTAATGTATCTATTTTAAATGAATGCTCTAATTCAAATGTAAATAAATTTTAGTTTCATCTTTAAAAATAAATAAAAGGGAATTAATGAAAAAAAAAAGAATTTTATCAATAATTATAAATGATTTTTATATGAAGAAATTAGAACAAATTTATCAGTAAGTTATTTCAATTTATCTAATTATATTTTTAATTATAAATTTTTATTTATCAACTTTTAATATAGGTTACTTCAAATACAATTTCTAATGCTTATAAATATGCTAGGTTGGATGGTCCTGATGCTAAACAAATCGAAAAACCTATAAGGACAATAAATAAATTATCACAAGAAAAATTAGAATAATTTAGTAATTTTTTTGAAAATAAAGCAAATAATATTATGTTTTCTTATAAAACAGATACTAAAATCCAATTACCTGTTCTTTATTTTTACCTGTTCTTTATTTGAAAATTACAAAGAAAGCACTTTAGAAAAAAATTCACAAAATATATCTGAATAATTTAAAAAAAAAACTTTTTATAAGAGAATTGTTATCAATATTGAAAAGATATAAATACTTATAGATATAAAGTATTTGGAAATTTGAAAGACTTAATTCAAAAAGAAATTAATTCAATAGAACTTTAAGTAAAATTAAACTAAAATCAATATATAAAATGTAAACAAAATACTTACTTTATTTTCTAAATTATTTAGAATAAATTTATTCAATATGTTGAAAATTTATAATGTTATCTAAAAAGATCATATGAACAAAAATTTAAAGTGTTAGAAAATAAAATAACTGAACATGATTCTTGTATCAATCATTGTTTATTGTATACTTTTGAAACTTGTAATGAACTACATACTCAAATATGTAATGAATAATAAAAATTATTTACTTTTTTTAATAATCTTAAAGAAATTATCAACTTAACTTCTCATAATGATTTGACAATTTATAAAGAAAACTTATTTACTACCTATCTCATCAAACAAGAAAAGTTTATTTAAATTCTCAATTTAATGCAATAATAATAAAATTGGATGAAAAAGGAGCTGTTCTATTAGTAAATATAAATGAAAATCTTACCGCAAACTGTAAAAGAAGTCAAATAGAATTTTTATAATAAAAAAGGATAGTCTCTACATTTTGTTTTAGTTTATACAAAATCTAATGAAGATAATCAAATTTGTATTAAAGCATTTGATCACTAGTCATATGATTCAAAGTAAGATGCATGATTCACAGCTTCATCTTTACATGGTATAATTGAAGCTCTTAACGAAAAGCCTAAATAGATAAGTATTATTTCAGATAATAGTTCACATTATCATAACTCTAAACTAATGATAATATTAAGTCATTGAAAAGAATGGTATAATATAAGAGTAAATAAGTGGATATTTTTAGAAGCATGAGAATCAAAAACTGCTATTGATTCACACTATACACAGGTATATAAATTTGCTAAATCTTCAATAGTTTATTTACTTGAATCATTTAAATTAATGTTTAAATTATTTAAATTTCACATTCAATTAAAAAGCGAGTTAAACTTGGATTTGAAATAAGAAATGGTGAAAATATTCAAAAAGCAATTAAAGATATTGCTGGAATTCATGTAATTCATTTAGAACCTAATAGAGATGATGGTAAATTTATTTTGTTAAAAATTGATTCATTTGATATGATATACTGTATATCTAATATATTATCTCTAAAATAATAAAAAGAAAATAAAGGAAATAAAATAAAAACAATTTCTGAAATTTCAAATTATTTTGAATGGAGGTGGCTAAATGAAGAAAAACTAAATATATATATACAAGCGAGAGTCTTACCTCATATTGGTGAATGGAAAACCTTTACACTAAATCAAATATCTAATTAGACAAAAGATGAAATACATATGTCACAACCATAAATTTCATCACATATTATTCCAAAATCTTCTTAAAAAATCCCAATGTCACATAATTCAAGTAAGTATTAGTATTAGTGATTATGTTATACAATAAATTAAAATAAATAAACAAGTTTTGTTTCTCAGATATTAATGTAAAAAGACTAAAGGTGAAATAACTGCAAGAGGAGTTGGAAAATTGAGGAATAATAACAAATGAAAAGAAAGTCACATAGAAATGATAAAAATGTTAGATTATGAAATAGTAAAAAAAACACAGACTAAAAAATCGGTAGGTTTTAAAAAAATATTTTTTTTATAAAAGGGTCAAATAATGAATTTTTATTATAAGTAGTAGTAATACATAAACATCAAAAAGAATTCTAAATAATATTACTAATATATTACAAAATAGGTAAGAAATTATATAAAAATTCAATACTATTTACAAAAAATCTGACGCTATATTATTAATCTTAACTGATAGTAATTCTAAATGTATTTTCTTTGTTATATAGTTAGGCTTTAAAACATAACCAAAAATATGGTAAATAAGATTCAGGAAAAAAAATTGCTTTACAAGTTATAGCTCTATTAGAACATTTCTTTCTAGATGGTAATATTCATAAAAATAGAAGAATAAATGAAAATAATATGTAAAACAAACTAGTTGAGAAACAGGAATATGGTGAATTAGCACAAAATGTTAAAATTTCAGAAGTATTCTCTATAAATAATTGGATAACAAGATTTACTGCAAAGTCAAAAAAAAACTTATTTGAACAAGCTATAGCTAGTTCTTCAATAGTTTAAAGCAAAATTACTATCTCATACCATTTTAAAATATCAATAAAATACTGAGAATCTCACATTTTGACAAAGTAAAGTCAAAATTTTTTGTATAAAAGTTTTGATTAAATTTATAATACAAAAATCCAAGTTTGATTATATAATAATAAGAGTTTTTAATGTTGCACAATTAAGTAATACTTTGACATTATCAAACTTTATTGTAATTCTATGTATTTTATTATATGATCAATATAAAC